AGCCTAGTGGAACTATTTCCTGAAATGACGGAAAATCCATCGGATTACGCTATTTACTTTCATCTTAGGAAAGTAATATTTTTTGTTTTCTCGTCTTCCGCGCCATGCATTAAAGAATTACGGTTAGCAGTTAAGAAATTTCTTTGTTCGTGCCATGAAATCGGACTGAATACTCCTAAAGTCCATTTCATCAGTCATTATCCTGAATTGACTGAATTCTATGGCACGCTATCGCGTTTTAGCACTGATAAGTATGAACGTGTTCATTCTTATCTGAAAAACTTGCTAAGCCTCTCCAAGAATTTTTTGAATGTGCCTTATTCGCTTTCTAAGCGAAATCAGATGGCACAACCGTTTTTGCACGTAGTTGATAAAATTTATGATGAGGGAATTTTGTCCTCATCGGACTTCCCACTTCGGATGTCCACAAGGTAAAATTAAGCTAAAAAACCGATGTTTTTTTCCTATCTTATGGCAACAAAAGTATTAAATTGGATTCCTTCAAAAAAAGCTTCATGTTGCTTTTAAAAATGTCCTTAGTTTTAAAACTTAAAGTTACCAATGCGAATTCCAACATAATCACATTTTTAAACATCGTCTTATTTGATATAAAAAAATCAATGATGAAGAAAAAAATAAACGATTTTTGTGATTTTCAATTGGTTTGGACCGAAAAAAAATGCTGCTAGAATCATTCCCGGAAATGATTTTTACATCTAAAACCACGAAACTATAATTAATTTATAATAAAAATAATGAATAGGGTATCAAATACCCTATTCAAAATTTGAAATTTGTCATTTTTTAAATTGATGAAATGATTTGGCGCGTTTTTTTCTTTTGAACAAATTATCGACACAATTTGAAGAAGAAATAATACCATACAAAAGTAAACATGAACCAATATTTCTGACGAATTTGTTTCGAACAGAATATAAACAAAATTATCAGCAGTTCCTTTTGGATGTTAATTGGTGGCGATATGAAGAGAACATGAATATGCAAACAATCAATAGAATTGTTCCATCAACAATAGAACACTGTTTGTCTGTTTTACCAAATATCGAAACAAACGAGGAAAGTAAGAAAGTGTATGATAATATGAAGACTATCAAATAGTGAATACTATCTTAACCAATTCCTTGAATTACTGCCAACATGTGTATCACCTGGTAAATTAATCAAATTAATTAAATGACTAAAAGTAATTATTATTCTTTTTACTAAAGTCCATGAGAAATGGGAATCAAAGAATCCACCATTCATCACCAGACTTCAAATTTTCTTGGGTTAAACCGAGTGAAATTTGCGATAAACTGTTTTTGAACAACAAATTCATCTTATCGCAATTACTCAACGAAACTTCCTGCAATTTTGATCAATTAAAATATACAGAGCATTTGAAATGCGATATAAATAGGCGGAAGCAACTGATGGGTGAGCTAATTGGTTATAATAGGTTACTTTTAATAAGTTCAATTCAATTTAATTCAATAGGAAAACTCCAACTGGAGTTTGGATTCGACGATTTCTCAATAGTCAATCCTATTGGGGTAAAAAATGTGAACCATACTTATATGGCTTTATACCTCACAACCCCAACGATCCCTTTAAAATATCGGTCGAAAAGAAGCGACATATTCGTTTTAATGTTGATTAATAGGGCGGAAATGAAAAGATCGGGTTATGAGTTGAAAGATGTCCTTAAACCTTTGATCGACGATCTCAAATTCATTATGGAAGAAGGTATTGAGAAAAAAATTACGGATATCAATGGTCAAACAATAACGAAGAAATTCAAAATTGCCGTATCTGCCGTTTGCGGTGATAATAAAGGAATTTATGAATTATTAGGTGATTATTTATTATTGAATGATGTGTAAATAACAAACTAAAATGATGAATTATTTCAGGATATCATACGTCATTTACCAGTAGATCATTCATTTGTCGATTATGTGGCGCAAAAGCCAAAGACAGTGAACTAAAACGAATCGGAAATCTAATTGATTTCGCAAAAATTGACTATCAAAAGGCCCAATTCAAGAAAAAATTTGCAAAAAATTTGACAACACTTTTGAAAAATTGCAATATTCTGAACACCTAAAATGCAATATTCAAACTCAGCTACCAAATACTATCATTATGGATAAACCGCTCATAATTTTTTTTTCTCTTTATTTTGATATGATTCTTATAATTATTATTATAGAAGTTTCAACAAACATACAAGCATTTATCCAAACCCAAGTCTTGAAGAGGACTTGGGAGAGCATAAGAGTTGATTTACGAGAAGACATAATGGACGACGAATACGGCCAGATGGAGGTGTGATCCTGGCGATGTGGTTAGAA